GGCCACTCCCACCTGGCCGGGCAGCAGCCCCTGCCCAGCCGGCCTGCACCCCGCGAGGCCCCAGTCAGGCTCAGGTGCGCCCTTACCTGCAGGGACACCTGCCAGGGCCAGGAGCCAGGGACGGCGTCCTCGCCATTGACGATCCTGGACAGGCCGCTGAGCACGGGGTGGATGGCGGGGACCCCGCACCCTGGGGGTGGAACACGCGGGTAAGGTGTGCAGGTCAAGGGCGGCTCTGGTGTCCCCTTATGTGGGTTCCCATAGTTCAGTGTGACATCGCTTCAGCCCAGACAAACCCAGGGAGCTGCAGTCACGCTGTGGCACAGCCGGCGTGCTTGGAGGCTGCACTCTGTGGACTTGAACCCATCACTACCTCGTTTAACCACCAAGGCTCAGCTTTCCCATCCGCAAAATGGGTCCGTACAGTCACTGACCTCACAGGGTTGCTCTCAGGATGCCAGAGGAGTTCTCAGGCTGCAGAGGTACCTGACCCTTTCCTGGCCTTAATTGCTGTTCATTCAACACCATTTGATTTAAAAGATTTATCTATTTATACATACTGAACTGGGGTAAAGGCCAGAGTTGCGGGGGCTGGGGGTGAGAAGAGTCACCAGAGACAAGAGTGGGGAGCAGAGCAGGCAGAAATACACTGCTGAGGGGAGCAGCGGACGAGACAGGAGGTGTATGCTGCACCATGTGGGTCACCTCACTAGCCGGGGATCGAACTCGTGCTGCAGTGGTTGTGATAGCTTCATCATGCTGAGCTTTAACCCGTTGCGCCACCAGGGAGGACCTCAGTAAACAACACTGAAAACACCTGCCCCTCTGCTGGCCCTCTGAGCCTGTAGTGGAGGCACTGATGGCTCAGAAACCTTTCTGGACTCGCCTTCTCTGTGACCTGCAGGGTGTGAAGCCTCTGCCAGTCCCAGAGAAGGCCACCTCCTCCCTGGGAGAGTCACACGGCTGGCCTGGGCCAGTCCCCCTTGTAGAGATGGCTCCGTGCAGCACAAGAGGGAGAGACTTGCTTAGGCTCACACCGCGCACACTGAGGGGAGCTCGGCCCCTCACTGCCCTGCGCCCCAGCAAGGGCTAAGGGCATCCTTCCTCCCAGCCTTCCCAGGCTCTGGTACTCACCGAAGGCTGTGCTCAAGAGGGCGAAGCAGGAGACGAGCCAGAGGAAGGCCATGGTGCTGCAGTCAGGGAGGCGCTTTGCTGGAGCCACCCCCTTATATTCCTGTACCCCAGGCTGCTATCTGGAGACCTTGAGGTGACAGCCCTGTCCTGGGAGTGTACCCAACTGGCCAGCGTGGGACAGCAGCAGCTGTCACCATGGCTGAGCTTGGAGTCAGGGTCAAGGGCAACGGTGGGGAGCGCACAAGGTGGCCCTTGACTAGCAGCCAAGGGGAAGGGGTGTCCCCCTGGGGCTTCCTCTTCCAGGCCCAGTGGGTAGTGGCCCGGCCTGGGCAGGGCTTCAGGCACGGTCTTGTCTCACATCTAGAGCACTCTGGGCCATGGTTTATTTGACTTGGTAACGGTTCAAAACCCCTGGGCGGTAAGATCAGGAAGGGAAAGAAGAGGCCCGGCCCTTTCCTCAGCTGTCATGGACCCTCGGGTTGAACATGCAGCCTTGGGCACAAGGCTGGGCTGATGGGCAGCCCAGGGGCCCCCTGCCACCCCCTCCTGCCTCCCATGAGCCAGTGGAGGGCTAGACACAAGTGGGAAGCAGGGCCCAGAGAGACCTGTTTCACTTGGGCAGACAGCGGGGCCTTTCCCCAGCAGCTGGGGACCTGAGGAGGGAGAATTTTGAGGTTAGGCTGCCAGATGGAGAACAAGAGCCCCAGAATGCAGGAGGAGATAATACCCCTTCTCTTTAACTCCTGTTGCGCTGATGACTGTGACGCATTTCACAGCACAAGGTAGTGGCGGGGTCTGGAGCAAGTTACTCATCCTCTCTGATCTGTTTAAGTGGGCAAAGCGGGGCTGCCTCTGGTAGGGGTCCCGCATTCTCCCAGCGTATGACCCCTGCTGGTCATGTAGGACCAAGCCCAACACCGGTCACCTGGTGGGCCCTTGAGCTTCTCGAAGTGCGTGTGGCTGCCTCTTGCACACCCTAGAAGACCGTCTGATGACCAGGGGTTTTGGTGGGCAAGCAGGGCACAGTGTGCCCAGAGTGGCCCCATCTGTGAGACCCAACTGTGGGCAAGTCCATTTATGCTAGCAGCCAATGCTTCCCGGCCCCCACGGCGGAAAAGTAGCACAGATTTTCATAGGAGAGGCAGCCTAAGGAAGGGTTTAAGACACAAACTACGTTACTAGTTATTTAAGGCTCTTAAGGGAATAGAAAAAAGAAAGACACAAAACAGCACCTTTTCAATATCTTAGAAATTCCTTAAGTGGAATCTTCGGCCAATTTATACCATAACCATATTTTAACACGTATCTGTAACTACTTTACATGTTCCTAAGTTCTTTTGAATTCAATTATTGTTTATTTTACAGCTAATTACTAAAGTGGACTCGATCTATTGATACACAAAATTATTTCTCTAGTTGAATATTTCACATGGGTTAATGATCTTTACTAAAACACTTTTTACTCCCTATGGTTTGCCTCCTCCCAACCTACCTTCTTGCACACGTCCTATGCTACGATGACAGAATGATATGGGGGTTGCCCAATAAATCCCTAGTAGCCCACCTTCTGACCTCTAGTGAGTTTCCTCTGAGTAATCACTGCTTTTATCGATGCAAATCACTATAACTAAAAACAAATATTCCATTTTCTCCTTCTAATGTTTGTCTTAGTTTAAATTTATTCATTTTGAAAAATATAATAATAAGTGTAAAAAGTGTTTAAAAGAAAAACAAACAAACTATATTGCTACCAGCTAAGGCTGTTGCTGTTGTTAGCAGCCACAGCACCAGCAGCACACCCGCCCCGATGAACAGGACCTCACAGAGAAGGTCAGTCCAGCCTAAGTGGGGCTGAAGTGCACCCAGCACAGCCTGGAGGGACCTGTGTCCTGGAGGGGGTGCAGGGAAAGCAAAGGCCTGAGACAGTGCCTGGGGGCTCTCGAGACTCTCTGGGCCAGAAGGAGTGAAGAACTTAAGAGCAGGAAGCCAGAGTGGAGGGCCGAGGGCCAAGCAGGAGGAGCCGCAGGGCAGCCGGGAGCAGCTGGTGACGACAGCCCCTGGCTGCGGAGCCCGCAGGCCTGAGTGCGGGGTGGGCCAGCTGGGCCGGGCACAGGGCGGCCTGGGCCGGAGGCTGGCATGGCCTTGGGAACCTCCATTGCCCTGGTCCGGGGGAGCCCGTCCCCCCCCAAAAAATGTGGAAGTCACCCTGTTTGGGGCTGGGTCACGTGCCCCAGGAAGGTCCCCTAAGGAGAGTGTGAGCTGCTTTCACCTGGCAGCCCACTAGGAATGGCCAAGTTGTTTAGCTTGTCGAATTTACGCTAAAGAGCATTTTCCTGGCTTCCCCTTTTCGCTAATCTTTCTAACCTCCTACTTTCATGTCTAGAAACCCTGCCTCTTCACCTAGACCTCTGGAGCCCACCCTCTGCTCAAACTGACTCCCAGGCCCAGGGAGAAGGCCTGGTCTTGTCTGCCTTTTGCAGAAAGTTTTGTTTTTTCTTTAAGATTTATTTATTTGTGCATATAGAACTGGGGTATAGGTCAGAGGTGCGGGCGTGAGAGGATTCACCAGAGACAGAGTGGGGAGCAGAACAGGCAGAGTGACTGAAATATACTGCTGAGGGGAGCAGTGGGTGCGACAGGAGAGGTCTGCTGCGCCCTGTGGGTCATGTCAGCTCCCTGGACAGGAATGGAACTTGTGCTGCCCTGTGACCCCTGCACCACCAGAGAGGCCCTAACTCAGGGAATCTTAAGATTATCTAGGGGAAATTATCAAGTTTTTCAAACTGCCTGGCTGTGTGTTGGCGTTGTGTTCAGTTGTGAGAAAAGAGACTTAAGCTGTGTATCTTAAGCAAATCACACATTTCATTTAACAAGGAATCAAGAAGGGGACAATCCATGGCTGGTGTGGCATCTCAAAATGCGGCATCCTTTTGTCTCCAGGGTAGCTGCTGAACCTCTAAGCGTGGCATCTGCCTTCAGGTGGGACAGGAAAGGCGAGTGCAGACCAAAGGCAGTACCGACATATTCCATTTGTAAAAATCTTCCTGGTGGCCCCATCCTGTGACTTCTGCTGCCATCTCGGTAGGCAGAACTGTATCTCAAGGCCACTCCCCAAGGCGGGCAGGAAAGGAAGCTCCCTCTGAGGCCTTTTCCACCCCAGGCAGAATCAGGAAGGCAGGGAGTGGGTAGCCGTGGACCTCTGGCACGGCCAGGGAGTCCTTCCTTCTGGGACTGGAAAAAAAGAACCTGACACTGTCAATTTTTCTTTCTTTTTTTTTT